TCCATCCACCCATTTCCTATCGCTAAAAGCTCAGGTGATGAGAGGTTTAGGCAACAACTTCTCTGTGGCTTTTATGGGTGTGGGGGACCATTATGCGGAAATCTGGTACGAGATTTTAGACAGAGATAACACACAATGGTTTGATTGTTCGCACCCCAAAGAAAAATTTTCAGCCGCATTTTGATTACAAACGTTCATTGAAGTTAACCTAAAAATGCTTATTGTAATCTACATGTAGTTCAGGGAGTGGAATAGATTAAAATATAGTTGTAAGTTGTCGTCTGACTATCATATAATACAGTAATCGTTTATACTCGCAAGAGCAAAAGTTTCTGAGCACCTACCCAAAAGTATGTGAATATTTCTGCAAAACGCACAGCAGAAATGAAATTGAAAACGGAAATAAGCCCCAAGCTCCTCTACCAGGTCTACGCGCCCATCTTCCCTGCGAGAGTGTGCCAAATATGCGTACAGCCTTCCGTGCAGATGATTCCACCCAAGACCGCACATCTGATCTTTTCTCCAGTGGCATTCACTTCTTATTGCAGATTCCTTTTATCCAGAACACCACAGCAGAAATGAAATTGAAAACGGAACTAAGCCCCAAACTCTTCTACTAGGTTTACGCGGCCATCTGCCCTGTGAGAGTGTGCGAAATATGTGTACAGCCTCCCATGCAGATGATTCCACCCAAGATGCTTCTGATTTTTTTTTCAATGACATTCACTTCTCATCGCAGATTCCTTCTTTCCAGACCGTATTTCCTATTTCGTATTTTCCACTTTTTACAGCATAATCAGCATATATTTTTTTCCAAAGGAACTTTACCAGAGTCATAACTTGCTTGATCGCTAAGATTGAACATACTCAAGGTCGGTCATTTTCAAGGTCGGTCTATTGTTACAGCAATACTACGTTGGTCGTCTAGAGGACTGGGCACACCCTCGAAGTAAAGATTGGATCGGTCCTTGCTCCCACTCCCACAGGCAAAAAAATGTCAGAACATATTAAATATGCAGTTGTGTTTTATCGGAGCAAAAAAATTGTAGTTTTGACATGTTTTGTGTTTCATACTTGAAAAAAACCATGATTTGGAAAAAATCGGGCAATGCTAGTACCATAATACACTACTTTTACTCTCACGATCTATTAGGGCCTGGTTATGTGTAGCCTGATGATTGGATCCAGGAAAAGGTTTCGTCTTTAAGTACAACAAACTTTTTATCTCTTGTAGTTTTTACCTGTCGGCGGTAGGGGGGAAGGGGAGGGGAGAAGGGGTGGAAGGGTTCTGAAACACTCTTAAACTGAGCCACTAAATGCAGCATAATGCATAATCAGGAGCGTAATTTTAAGTACAATCAGGGGGAAGGAGCTGACTCCATTGTTTCCTGGTATAAGCCACCATCGAAACATTACAACCAGTGTAACGTCACGTAGCACGTAGGAGAAGCCAGTAGTAGCGAACAAAAACAACTTAAACTTTATTGAAAGATAACTGAGAAGCCATGTACACAATAACATTACTAGAACGTTAGTGTGTATGAACTTTAGCTGCTGCAGTAAATCTGTGTTCTGTATTTACTTGGTGGACTGGGACAGAACCTTGGTGGGATATGCCTTGGTAGGAAATGGCTCCACGGAGGTGCGTCCACCCTAAGCATTTGTGGAGGGTCGCATGATCGCATTCGCCACCTCTCTTGTGCTGGTGGCGCGTCGTCGGTACCTCTTTTAAGAAACGAAGAAACCCTTTTAGTCGCCTTTTTATGTTTGGTGAAATATTCTTTAGGTATATTATGCCACAAGAAGCTCCTTGGGATGATATCCCTCCTCAATCACTTCTACAATTCAAATTCCTAAATGGGATCGTGAAGCTCATTTCATGAATACCGCTACAATACTGTTCACAATGCCTCTTCAATGCCATCACTGACATGAAAAATTGTAAGCTGTACGCAGAGATGATAAATGATGAGGAATTCGTTTTATTTTATTAGATAAAGGACAGAACTTTTCCAGGAAAAACAAAGTTCATTTGAAAATATTCACAACATCTATTGAAACTAAAATTGCAGACCTGATATGGCGACGAAATTCCCTTGCTAGAGGATTCAACTTTCTCCCTTTAACGCGACAGTGAAAGTACACAAAACGTACACAACACATTAATTGCTTAGTGACCATTGCGAAGCAAAGATCATACTCATCATTGGAAGAACTATCCACCGTGCAAGCTAATGCCGTCTCGGTGGATTGAAGCTTACTTTACCTTTCTTGAAAAAAAGGCAGATTTTGATCTTAGGGTGACAGTGGGTGATAAAAAAATTCGTTTCTTTCATTAAATGAAGCGATTACCGGCCACAAGAAGAGTAAAGTTCACTAAAAAAGAATAACATGATCTAAAGAAAGTGAAATTCCAGACCTGAGATGGCGGACGTAATTCTCCTGCTAGAGGATTTACCTCGCTCCCTTGGACATCACTGTAAACGAGAAGAAGACGAAGAGCATGTTTCAATGAAATATGACTTTCTAATTAATAATTTTGAAATATGGAATTATTCTTGACACCACTCTCAGCTACATTTTTACCTTTCACCCTAAAGCTCAACCACCGTCTCTTTCAGAAAATTATCGGAATAACACTTATTTCCCACCAAGCATTCGCAAGTTCAGCTTCAGTTTTAACTACTCAACATTATATTCTCCAGTTACCCAACATAATCAACGAAGAGGCAAAACATTTATCTTGTGGACATGAAATCTCTCACCTTTTATCGCTGGTATGCGCAGTGTGCGTCTGGGTCGGACAGTCAGGGTGAATATAAGTCAATATATATTTAGCCGGACC